AGACTGAGATTGAGACTGAGATTGAGATTGAGACTGAGATTGAGACTGAGATTGAGATTGAGATTGTTGTGAGAATATGTTTCCTATCGTCGAAATTGTTTTGATACCTTTAATTTAAGAAAAGATTAATTATTTTCAAAATTAAATTTTCTAGTTTTCTTTATTCTTTGCATAAGGTTTTTTTTTTACCTGATGTTTGTGTTGTTGCAGACATAGAATTTGATTTGAAATCTACGAAATACAACAAATGATCAAATTTATTTAATACCATAATATAAAAAATAAAAAAAATTTATAAAATCCAAAAAATAATCAATCAACCTCTGTTAGTTATTGATTTTTGAACAGAAATTTTTAAGGATTTGATATATTCGAGAAATTCTTCTGCAGAAATTCCTAAAGTGGCAAACCATGTTTTACATCCTTCAGGAGTATTATCATTTATTTTTTCCAGTTTTGAGATATCAAAAGTCATTTCTGCTCCTGTACTTGATTTATTTGAACGGATATTATTTATCATAGTCAAATTGACTCCAGTCACTAATGTAGGATCACTTTCTTTGAGAATACTTGGTACAAAAATTGTAGCCATTGTTATTTCTTCTTTACCCTTATCCTTGTTCCAGAATTTCCATTCTGCCTCTACGTTAGCTAAGAAATTTATTAAAATTAGGATAGATATTTTTATTATATTATTTAGGATAGATATACTTGTATAGAAAAATTAATATTAAAAATATTTTCTTACGCTTGTTAAAAGGGGTCATCGTAGCTGTTTTAAGATTTTAAGATACAATTAAGATGAATAATATCAATCATTATTTTATATATATATATATATATATATATATATAAAATATATAAATAATATATAAATAAATGAAGAAAAGAATATTCGAGATTAAAAACAATTATAACGTTGACATAATTATAATTCTTTTTTATACTCTGTTGTGACTTATCTTAATCAAAAATGCCAAACATTTCACGCTTCGAAACCTCATATTTCTCTTCTCGTTTTAAGTGATATAATAAAGTTATGTATAAGCGTGAACTCATGATAACCTTGAGGATATGCAAAAGAACAAAAGAAACGCAGTGGTGTGCTTAGAATTCGATATTACATACCTTTGTTGCAAAAGATAATAATTTTCTAAACAACTTTCTTATAACATTTTTATATAGTTTCATATGATATATTAAATAATATTTAAATTTTTAAAATATATAGAATAATATAAAGTAATAAAATATATATAAGTATCTATATATATTTAAATATTTAAATATTAAATATTTTAAATTATATTTAAAATGAAATCGTGATTATATATATATTATATCTCGAAAATAATTAGAGCAAAAATTTCTTTATAGAAAAGAAATTAAGTATACAAACATATAAAATAAATTCTTGAATATTTATTACATTTAAGTTTTTCAATTATTTTAGAATACAATTGTAACTGTAATCTAGAACATATAACTTTCACGTTAATTATCAAACGCGGTTTTCATTCATTCTGAACGATGTTTATCTCAAAAAATTCAACATTAAAACAAAACTTGTTCCCTTATCTTTTCTAATTACTCTGCATCATCATGGATCATATGTTATAATGATGTTATAATAGAAGTAAAAATTATCAATCGAAATTCTTCAGAATAGATTTGTTCTTTCACAATACCGAAAGAAAGTAAAAGTTCCGCTTACCGACCAATATCAGAGATAATCCAAATACCAAGAAAATAACGGAAATTTTTTCGACTTTCATGGTTCCTCGTCGTCTACGATCTTCAGGATTGTTTCAATTTCAAACGCAATAAAGTTGAGAGAATATGCGAACGTTTTAAGATAAATTGAAGCCTCGCCGGCTGATTCCGTTGGCACGTATATAAGATCTTTACTTTTAAGGTCGTTGCACGATCATCGTATGATACTTAAACGAGAACCTTCTTCTTGAAAGGATGATCTTAACTTCACGCTCGATTTCTCGATTCTTCAATCCGACAGCTGGTAATGTTTCTTCCTTTCAAATTGAAACTGCTTTCGAATAATCTCGTTTGTTTATGAATTCTGTTTCTTCTGGTTGGTTACGTGTCGCTGTTTAATGTTCCATTGTGTCACTTGTGATTAATCTATTTATCGTTTTGAGTTATTGGTTAAGCAGTGACGATTGATTCGTTTCAAATGGAATGATGATGATGAACGAATTATTGTAGATCAAGGGAGCGAAGTTAGAAATCGAGTTAAACTAGGGAATTAAGAGTAGATTTATTGGCTATCGATATACGAGAATGGTTTTTGATCAGCCTTTCCTCAACAGTATTTAGAATCTTACATATAAGTTTAAACTCTTGTTTATATTTATCTTATATTTATTAAAAAGCATCACAGACCATTTCCTATGATAAAAATTTCTCGATCCCTTGATCCGTTATATATTTAATACAAAAGAAGATATAATTTATAACATTTAAAATGATAATCCTTTTCTTTTTCTTTATGCCTCATAGCAACAGAAGATTAAATGACTATTTTGAGTAAGATGTTTATTTGGTACCAGTGTTTCACGTTTGAAAAATTTTAGTAATATAGGAATAAACTATATATATATGTAAAAAAAAAAAAAAATAAAGCTTATTAGATAGAAGAAATTATACTTTATTCTTGAAAAATATATTTACATATTTACACGTTGAAGTTTTACCACCACAACTACGATAGCGTGATAAACTAGTTCATAATTTGATTGACATTTAAGGAAACGTTCTATTTGCTCACGAACAGATAACATTCTCGATATATAATTTGAATACAAACTAGAGTCGTTCATTTCTTACTAAGAATTGGAAACTTACTTTATATATATATATATATATATACATATATATGTATATACCCATATTAAAATTCACTGAATATCATATTTATCGCTCATAAGAAGAGAAAATATTATTTTTTTCCGATGTCGTTAAATATTTAGAATTATGGGAAAATAGATGACTGCCCATAAAACAAAGAGAATCAATAGTATCAGCATAAGTTTGGAACGAAATTTGTCCCATCCGACTAAAATGTATTTGGGCCTTGCTTGGGTATCCTCTGCATCCAAAGAAGACTGAAACATAAAAAAATTGTCATAAGAGATCAATGACAAATACAAATAATTTACGATCGCAATATTATCTTTTTTTTTCGTTACATCATCATCGATTTCTTCGTTAGCTTGTAGCCTTTGTGTACTTAAATTTTCACGCATTTGGGTTGCTTTGCTCTGGGTGGGCTTCACTTTACTGTGTCCAGGCTTCGAATTTGATTTTTTGGCAGGTTGATGCGATTTCGAAGTTCCAGGATAATCAAAAGTTGTTAATTTAATTACGGTATTATCTACGTTTCGTAGTTTATTCGATTGTGCGATTTTTATTCCTGTAGCTTCTTTCTTCGATGATTCCTTCACCGCTGTATTTTCTTTTGTTTCGTCGCTTTCTGCAAATTAGTTGAATTAGTTGAAAAAAAAAAAAAAGAAGAAGAAGAAGAATATGAAAAGAAATTATAAAATTTATCGAAGTTATGAAACGAGAAAAAAATATAATTATTTAATTGCTTAAACGAGTTGTAAACGATTCTTTGGAGGATTATTATTTTTTAACTTTTATTTACCTTTTCCAGGATCATCCTGCTTTGAAGATCCGGCCTGGCTATCTCGAATTTGAGAAAAGAAGCTATCCAAGTATCGCGCAATCGTCTTCTCGTTTTCCCGCTTCAGATTGCCGGCTAGGTATACTTTCTTCGGTGCATCTATCACGGAACTGACTAATTTAGATGTTGAACTTTATTCCTGATCGTCGAGCGAGGGTACTTGAACTCTATCTCTTGTGCTATCAAAAAGAAGAAAAAAAGATTAGATAATAAAATTAGATCTTTGTTCTTGATTTGAAATGAAAATTACTGTTTCTTTTTTAAGACTTCTCTGTGGTAATAATGAGTCGATATTAATTCAGAGATTCGTATCTAATTTTATACGAATTATTTATCAAATCGGAATGAGAAATCTAGACGAAGAGGAGGAATCTAAATAAAGATCACTTATTGTACGTAAAAAAAAAAAAAAAAAAAAAAAAAAAAAGAAACAGACCTTAATTCGAAAAAGTAAGATAAATCTGTATTGCAAATTGGACAAAAATGCCTCTCCTTCGAGATACGGTATTCGAGTATATATACTCGAATCGAATTATCGGTTCAAATATAAACAGTTTTCATATCAAGATAGTCATGGTAAGTTTTAATTATCTGATAACATGGATCAATTTGATATAAACGTCCGTGGAACAGTCTTAACTCCGATATCTGTGCATATTAAATGTGGCAATGATTATTTCACATCGAATAAAATGTACTCTTTATTTTCATTCGTATTATTTTCATTGGGAGTAAAATGTCGAATTTTCGAATAATCTTACAATTTTACTTTACTTTTCTTTTCAATTTTTACAATTTTAACTAATTCTCGATAAATATAATTACACGTTTGTTAAACGTTGAAACTTCATAACCCTATCTCACTTCCATTCATCTTCCAACAGATAAATTCGGTTCCTATTCGACGAACGAAATGATTATTCGGATTTGATTTGAAAAAAGAAAAAAAAAGAAAGAAAAAGAAGAAGAAGAAAAAGAATTTCTTACGAAAGTCGTGATATTTGCTAGTTGGAGAGCGAAAAAAAAAGAAAAGAAAATTTATAAACCTTTATTCTTACCTTGATAAACATCGTAGCAGAGATCCTACGGACTTCGCATGACTCGGATAACGCGATATAAAATGTCAATTTGAAGATCGTTCGAGTCAGGTGCGAAACGCGGCCTCAAGATCGCGGGTCATTAAAGATGTTTTATCGTCCTTCGTCTCGTTCCTCGTTTCGAGAAATCCTCCCTGAGAATTCTGATCGTGGCCGTGCACCATGGACGGATCGTTGGTAAGAAAAAAAGACAAATTCTAGAGCGTCATATATTCGCGGATAACTTCGAGCAGAATTCCCGATAGCGTTCATCATCAGGTTGAGAGGGTACCGATTATCAGCGTACAAATATAGTACATAGTTAATAATCTATGTTAAACTGTGTTATAATTGTCATACGAGAAAGCCTAGATGTAGAAGTATTATATCTTTAATAAAGTAGCACTTGTGCATATTTTTTATTGGTAATGGATAAAAAATCGATTTTGATAATATTTAATTGGAGAATAAAGCTTGATTCACACTCAACGCCGTCATGGTACCGTCAGTCACACGCGTTCGCTCACGCGTTTAATCCAAAAAATTCGATCGATCGTGATTGATGATCGTGATTTTTTATCTTTTATGTGAATCAAGATCAACGAAAGAAAGGCTTATTGGCGTTTTCATGCAACTTTAACTTATTATTTTATTATCGCATAAGATTTTGATAATCATAAGTTCGATGCGTGGTATAGTGAGTTAATTTGTTTATTATAATTTTCGATTTAAGTTTCTAAATTTTTAAATGATGTTTGTGGGTAAGATAAATTTTAGAAATGCAACAAAATTTCAAAATTTATTCAGTTTATTTAATCGCTTTTGTACAAATACTTGGTAAAAAAAAAATTATTAATACTAAATATTCGAATACCTTCTATCAAATAGAATATATTATAAACAATTTGTATATAATATTATAAATAGAAACATATATAATCAATGTAATACAATCGTGATTTTTGTAACAAAAATTTTGTCGACGAAGGAATATCCAATTTTATGAACGAATATTACAGGTACCATTCTCGTTATAATTTTATTTTTGCGAACAGCGCCTTTTGTACGATCTTACAAAAATATCTTCAACTTTTCCTGTTTCAAATATTTCAACACTGGGAATTTCATAGTCGTTGGACCGATGAAAGTTGGGGCAACCGTGCAAATAGAAGACAACTTTACGCAATCCCGATATTCAAACTCTCTGCTAATTTCTAAAAACTTTCTGCCCACAAAACAATGTACGTAATTTTTTTCATATTTTTCATTCACACTCGACATACTAGTTACTAATTCTTCGACAAACATTCACGATCCACGATTTTGAGCATAGAATTTTTATTCAAGGACGGATGGAAAATAGGAAATTCAATGAAACATCCATCGAATATCGATCAAAGACATCCAAATCATTTTCGGACAAAATTTCCATTTTTCTTTGTAATTCTTTTCAATCTTTTCTCAAATTTCGAAACCATTTTTTATCTGTGTTGCGTCCTTTTCAGCCTTGTATGTACAACAAACATTCCGTTCCCTTCGAAACGAAAGAGCATAAATCATCCAAGTTTCTCGACGTTCTCGATGTATTCAACAGTTCCACGCGACTCGTCGAATTCTTCACAAGATTTGATATTGGACGAGGAATGTGTAAACGATTACCCACAAGATCAAAGCAACGATCACAGAAATGAGAAAGATGGTCTTGAGAAAATGCCACGGGCTTTCCATCCGTGATTCTGCTCGACTTGCCCAACTCTTGCATCCACCGTTTTTGCAAGGAATGCTTCCTGGTTGCACAGGCGTCGAAGTCGCCACGTTGCTCGTTAACGGCATCACTTTTACCTCGCCTAATTCCGTTTCATCCGCGATCTGAACCTCCGTCTTCGTCAACTCGAACTTCGATGGACTTTCCATCTGAAATCATCGATGAATGATTCGAATGGTTGGTGAAATTTTTATCGAACAAAATTTGTTTGTTGCCAACAGATTACGTTGTAAT